CACACACACACACACACACACACACACACGTTTTGGCCCCAGGGCAGACAGACAAGGACACACACACACCAGTTTTGGCCCCAGGGCAGACAGACAAGGGCACAAAGGCCATCCTCTTCTGGAGGGACAGCCTAGGCTCCTCAGAGGCCCATGGGGGAAGGGAAGGCCGAGCCCCTTTCCCTAGCTGGCAAACACCAGTGGCCACCAGGTTTGACCCGTGCTCTATGACAAACACCTTGGACTGGGAAAGGGGCCTCAGTGCCCCCTAGGGGCAAGGAGGACCAACTGCCTTTGAACTTTGGTGTATGAGCGCTCTGTGCGCTTGAATTCGGGGCCGGTTTCTCTATCTCTGTCTGTCTGTCTGTCTGTCTGTCTGTCTCTTTCTCTCTCTCTCTCATTTCATTCAAGGCTGATGCTCTACCACTTCAGCCACAGCTGCACTTCCAGGATTTTGATGACTAATTGGAGATAAAAGTCTCATGAAGTTTTCTTTTTTTCTTTCTTTCATTTTTTTTTTCTTTTTGCCAGTCCTGGGGCTTGAACTCAGGGCCTGGGCACTGTCCTTGAGCTCCTTTTGCTCAAGGCTAGCACTCTACCATTTGAGCCACAGCGCCACTTTCAGCTTTTTCTGTGTACATGGTACTGAGGAATTGAACCCAGGGTTTCATGTATGCAAGGCAAGCACTCTACCACTAAGCCACATTCCCAGCCCCATCTCACGGACTTTTCTTGTCTGCATTGGCTTTGAACCGCAGTCCTCAGAATCTTAGTCTCCTAAGTAGCTAGAATTAGACATTAGAATTAGACTAGCACCTGGCTTTGTCTGGACTTTTCAACTCTATGCATTACAGCCTTATTGATGGTGGTGACAACCTGCCACCCAGTGCCGTGAGAACTTGGGGGAGTGCAGCCACCCAGTCCACAGTACCACATGCCCTGCCTGCGTAGGGCTTGCCGTAGACTGGGGTGTGACTGGGTAGCAGGACACAAGCTTGTATGGACAAGCCCTGGCTTCATCCCCAGAAATAGACATGCACGCACACGCGCGCATGTGCACACACACACACACACACACACACAATCTCCCAGGAATGAACACCTACTGTGGTGGTGAATGTTGGTGGTCAGCCAGGCAGGATTACAAGTCACCCAAAAGGTTAATAAAGCACACCTCTGAGTATGTTTGTGAAGGCATTTCCAGAGAAGATGGACAGGTGCAACCATGAATGAGATGCAAAGACCCTCCCTAAACGTGGAGAGCACATTCCAATAGGCTGGGGATGCAGAGGAACAAAAATGAAAGAGACAGGTGTACCGGCTCACACCTGTAATCCCAGCTACTCAGGTGGTAGAGATCAGAAGGATTGCAATTCAAAGCCAGCAGACCTCTAAAAATATTAGCGAGGTTCCCATCTCAACCATCTAGCCAGGCATGGTGACATGTACCTATGATCCCAATTAATCAGAAGGCCTGGGTCTGAGTTTAGCCCCAAGCAAAAAGAAGAACCCTATCTGAAAAATAACTCAAGTGCACTAGACATTGATGAAAATGAACTAATCAACTCATGGATGGAGATGGGAGGGAGGGAATGGGAGAGAATAAGGGAACAGATGACATTACTAAAGGAAATGTAGCTGGGTGCCAGTGACTCACACCTGTAATCTTAGCTACTCAGAAGGCTGAGATTTGAGGATCGAGGTTCAAAGCCAACCCAGGCAGGAAAATCCATGAAACTCTTATCTCCAATAAACCACCAGAAAACAGGAAGTGGTGCTGTGGCTCAAGTGGCAGAGTGTTAGTCTTAAGCTGAAGAGCTCAGGACAGTGCTCAGGCCCAGAGTTCAAGCCACATGACCCAACCAAAAAAAAAAAAAAAAGAAAGAAAAGGAAATGTACTCATTACTTGACATATGTAAATGTAACCCCTCTGGTAATAATAATAATAATAAGGTAAATTGATACATTTAAAAAAAATAAAGCAAAAACTGGGGGGGGTGGCTCAAGCAGTAAAGCACCTGCCTACCAAACACAAGATCCCAAGCTCAAATTCTGGTACCACAAAAAAAATGTATAGAAAGGAAGCCAGCTAGAGTGTAATCTTCTCTGCCTGGGTGGATGTGACTCTCTGATACTGCTAACCCTTGGGAACACCATCTAGTCTGTTCAGCTTCTTGCTGTTGTTGTTGGTCAGGGGGCTTGAACTCAGGACCTGGATGCTGTCCCCGAGCTCTTTTGCTCCAGGCTAGCATTTTATCACTGTGAGCCACAGTCCCACTTCCAGTTTTCTGGTGGTTCGTTGGCAAGAAGAGTCTCATGGACTTTCCTGTCTGGGCTGGCTTTGAACCTCGATTCTCAGATCTCAGCCTCTTAAAGTAGCTAGGACTACAGGCGTGAGCCATCAGTACTCAGCTTCCCTTAGTTGTTTGTTTAAGCAGATTTACACTCTCCAGAGAGCTCCCGGGCCTTCAGCCTAGGACCAGGGGCTCCATGACTGCTTCTGCATCTGGGGTTCTCAGGTTTATTCTGTTTGAATAGTAGGTGTTCTAGCTTCCCCATCTTCAATCATGTAAGTCAACCCAGGAAGTCACCTTTGATCACTCTGTGTGTGTGTGTGTGTACACATATATGTGTGTGTATATTCTACTGGTTCCATTCTTCTAGAGAAAGAGACCCAGAATACACCTAGTGTTTGAAAATACAACCTCAAGCTGTTCTCAGCCAGTTGTGTGGCCATGTGTTTATCTGTGCCCTGGACGTGGATGAGTGTAGCTAGACCAATGTGGTGTGTACCTCCACTCATGCTTCTTCTCATTTAACTCTCTTAATGAAAGGAAAGGAACAAGCCAGTGAATGAGTGGACAGGAGACCCTACAAGCACATTTAAAAAGATAAGACAGCCAGGCACTGGTGACTCATGCCTGTAATCCTTGCGACTCAGAAGGCAGATCTGAGGATGGCAGTGGGCAGGAAGAGTTTGTGAGACTCTTATCTCCAATTAACCAAAAAAGACAGAAGTAGTGCTGTGGCTCAAGTGGTAGACCACTGGCCTTAAGCAAAAATGCTCAGGGATAGTACCCAGACCCCAAGTTCAAACTCCAGGACAGCGTGCGCGCACACACACACACACACAGAGTGAGAAAGAGAGAGACAGAGAAAGAGAGATACAGAGACAGAAAGACAGAGACAGACAGAGAGAAGATAAGATGCAAAACTGGAGCCAGGCACCCGTGGCTCATGCCTGTAATCCTAGCTACTCAGGAGGCTGAGATCTGAGGATCACAGTACAAAGCCATCCTGGGCAGAGTTCGTGAGACTCGTATCTCCAATAAACCACTAGAAAACTGGAAGTGGTGATGTGGCTCAAGCGGTAGAGCGCTCGCCTTGAGCTGAAGAGCTGAGGGACAGCACCCAGGCCCAGAGTTCAAGCCCCACGACAAAAAAAAAAAAAACAAAAAAAAAAGATGCAAAACTGGGAAGAGGGGCTGGGAAGGTGGCTCAGTGGTAGAGCGCTTGCCTCACATGCCTGAGGCCCTGGGTTCTATTCCTCAGTACCACATAAGCAAAAAGAAAAAAGCCGGAAGTGGCGCTGTGGCTCAAGTGGTAGAGCGTTAGCCTTGAGCTGAAGAGCTGAGGGACAGCGCCCAGGCCCAGAGTTCAGGCCCCACGACCGGACCCCCCCCAAAAAAAAAAAAAACTGGGAAGAATCATTTCAGTGTGTTCTACACTAAAGGGATAAATAACCATCTTACATAAAGAGTAGGTCCAAACTCACTACCCCAAAACCCAGGACAGGAAGAACTATGGAGGGGATGAAGAAGAGCAAACCTACCAAGGGCCAAGAGCTGAGACTCACAGTGACATTTTTAGGCCTTTGTCCACTGGAGTTTGACACACTGTAGGCCACCCATGATGACAAGACTCACAAACATATATCATTCATAAAAGGGTGAGTGCCGGGCTGGGAAGGTGGCTCAGTGGTAGAGTGCTTGCCTTGCATGCCTGAGGCCCTGGGTTCAATTCCTCAGCACCACATAAGCAAAAAAGAAAAAAGCCAGAAGTGCCGCTGTGGCTCAAGTGGTAGAGTGCTAGCCTTGAGCTGAAATGCTGAGGGACAGTGCCCAGACCCAGAGTTCAGGCCCCACAACCGGACCCCCAAAAAAAAAAAAGGGTGAGTGCCATGGAGGAAGGACTCACAGATGGTGGCCAGCACCCAGAGATGAGCAAGTTCTGGAATGACACTGGGGCAAGGAGCCCTGGGATCACCAGACTTGGCTGGCTGCAATATAGAAGACTAGAGAGGTGCCTGGGGCTGGTGGCTCATACCTGGAATCCTCGCTACTCAGGAGCCTGAGATCTGAGAATGGTGGATCAAAGCCAGCCCAGCCAGGAAAGTCCATGAGACTTTTATCTCACATAAACTACTCAGAAAAAGCTGGAAGTGGCACTGTGGCTCAAGTGGCAGAGCGCTAGCTTTGAGCAAAAGAAGCTCAGGGACAGTGCCCAGGCCCTGAGTTCAAGCCCCTGGACCTCCAATAAATAAATAAATAACAGTGGATGTTATTTTTACTTTCTTTGTGTCAGTACTTGGACTTGAACTCAAGGCCTCAAACTCTTGCTTGGCTTCTTTGCCCAGGGTTAGTGCTCTACGCCTTGAGCCATAGCTCCATTTCTGGCTTTTTTTTTTTTTTTTGGTGGTGGTTAATTGAAGAGTCTCACAGGGCTGGGAAGGTGGTTTAGTGGTAGAGTGCTTGTCTAGCACGCATGAAGCCCTGGGATCCACTCCTCAGTAACCACATACACAGAAAAAGCCAGAAGTGGTGCTGTAGTTTGAGTGATAGAGTGCTAGCCTTGAACAAAAGATCGAGGACAGTGCCCAGGCCCTGAGTTCAAGCCTCATAACTGGCAAAAAAAAAAAGTGTCTCACAGACTTTCCTGCCTGGGCTGGCTTTGTACCTCAATCCTCAGATCTCAGCCTCCTGAGTAGCTAGGATGGCAGGCCTAAGCCACCAACAGCCAGATCTTTCTTCTTCTTTTCCTTCTACCTCCTCCTCCTCCTCTTCCTCTCCCTCTCCTTCTTCACCTTGAACCTGAAAGGCTTGGACACTCTCCCTGAGCTTTTGTGCTCAAGGCTAGCCCTCTACCACTTGAGCCACGACTCTTACTTCCAGCTTTTTGCTGGTTAATTGGACATCAGAGTCTCACAGACTTTCCTGTCCCAGGCTGGTTTCATACTCAGATCTCAGCCTCCGAATAGCTAGCATTACCAATAGACACAAGCCACCAGCACCCAGCTCTTACTTTCTTCTTCGAGCCTTTTCTAAACCTTTTCAAAATTCTCCACAACTAGCCCTTATCACTTTTGTCTTGTGAAGCAGAAGATGGAAACAAAGCAAACACAACTGCTCCATGCTGCCCTTCTCCCTTGGCCGTCTGCCCTGTTCTCACTCTGTTCCCTCCCACTGCCAGCCCCATCTCCTGCACCCACTTTCCCTGCTGGGGAATCACAGACAATGGCTTCTGCTGTGGGTTCACAGCCTCCAGTGTCTGCCTCCGTTCAGCGGAGGCTCTCCTGAGGGAGACAAAGTGTACCTAACTAATCTGAGGTTCAGGGAGGAGGTAAAGGAAGCAGGTGACACACATTTGGCAGAAGCAAGCCTGGCCTGTCTCCTGGCCTCACCCCCCATCTCTCCACACTCCCAAAGACACTGTGGGAGCCAGCTCCCCCCTACCCCACCCCCTGTGGGTCTACTCACTGGCCAGCTGCAGAAGACGCCTGTAGTTTGACACATGGGTCTTGGGTTTCGGCATGGGGTCCCACTCTTCCAAAAGGGGGGCTGGGACCTTGGGCTTTGCTAAATGCAGGATCCGTTGGCTGGGGACTGCTGTCTGAGCTGCCCGGGACACGTGCAACACCTGGAAACAGAGATCCATGGGGAAGAACTGAAATAGCCCACAATCCCTTGCAGAGTTTACAGCCAAAGATGCCCCACCCCCAACCCTTGTCTCAAAGCAGCACTAAAAACAAACAAACAGCAGCAGCTCAGCCAGCACCAGTGGTTCATACCTATACTCCTAGCTACTCAGCAGACTGAGATCTAAGAATCACAATTTGAAGCCAGCCCAGGCAGGAGAGTCTGTGAGATGTATCTCCAATTAGTCACCAAAAAAAGCAGAAAGTGGAGCTGTAGCTCAAGTGGCAGAGAGTGAGCCTTGAGCAAAAACAGCTCAGAGACAGTGGCCAGGCCCTGAGTTCAAGCCCCAGGACACTCTCTCTCTGTCTCACACACACACACACACACACACACACACACACATATACACACACATACACATATGCATTTAGCAAAAAGATTATATATAAAAAGTTCCTTCTTGTGGGACATCAATGGCTCATGCCTGTAATCCTAACTACTGAGAGGCTAAAGATCTGCTAGAGGCTGAGATCTGACGATTGTGATTTGAAACCAGCACAGGCTTGAACTCAGAGCCTAGGCACACTGTCCCTGAGCTTTTGTGCTCAAGGCTAGTCCTCTACCACTTGAGCCACAGCTCCACTTCTGGCTTGGTGGTAGTTAATTGGAGATGAGAGTCTCACAAACTTTCCTGACCAGGCTGGCTTTGAACCTTGACGCTCAGATCTCAGCCTCCTGACTAGATAGGATGACAGGCGTGAGCCATCAGCTCAGCCTGTTGCCTTCTTGTCGCCTAACCTGGATGCTCAAAAGTGTTCTCTGTCACTGTACCCACTGTCTGGGCCTGCGCAAGGCAAGTGACAAGCTCCACCTACCTCAGACATGTCCATGTTCCAAATATTAGTACGGATCTTGGGGATTGCCAGTTCCTTCAGCCGATCGGTGGGGTGGTATTCCAATGTGGGCCGAGGGATGGGCCAGATGGGTGTGGTCCTAGGGAGCATCCACAGTTTAGATTAATCACCAGCCTGTCCCAGGGGATGGGGGTGGAGCGTCAGTGAGCCTTTGTGCATGTGTGTATCCATTACTGAGCCCGTTTCTAGAATAATGGGAGTCTAAGAATTTGCCGGGGGTGAGTGGGGGAGGTGATGAAAATATCTCTAAGAGTAAGCCAGGCACCAGTGGCTCATGCCTGTAATCCTAGCTACTTGAGAGGCTGAGATCTGTGGATTTCCAGTTCGAAGCCAGCTCAGGCAAGGAAGTCTGTGAAACTCGTATCTCCAATTAACCACCAAAAAGCCAGAAGTGGCCCTGTGGCTCAACTGGTAGAGTCCCTACCCTTGAGCAGAGAAAGCTCAGGGACAGTGCCAAGACAGTTCAAGGCTGGCATAAAAATCAAACAAATTTTTTTTTTTTAAAAATCAGCATGACTAGTAGAAGTGTCTCTGTCCATAGGAAAGCACTGTAAATTCAGAGACATGGTATAGATGTCTGTCCACACCTGTGTGTGTGCATCGCCACCTTTTCTGTTCATATTGGTATCTTAGGCCGAGCACAGGTAATTCTGACGCCATGTGTAGCCAGTGACGGTGGATTCAGATTTCTGCGTGTACAGCTACTCAGAACTCACAAGTAAGGACAGCTTGGAACTCCTACCAGCTGGCCTGCCATGTTTATAAGCTATGTACAGCCTCAGTTGGGCATTGCGAGAGTCAGCCTCACCAGTACCAGTACAGTAGGATTTGCTTTTCATATCTGTGAGAGAAAAACTGTCTTTTCTATCAAAGTGTGTTGCTTAAAAGTTCCTGCTTTGCCAAGCACCAGTGGTTCACACCTGTAATCCTCGCTACTAAAAAGGCTGACATCTGAGGATCATAGTTCAAAGCCAATCTGCACAGGAAAGTCTGTGAGACTCTTATCTCCAATTAACTACCAGAAAACCAGAAGTGGAGCTGTGGTTCAAAGTGGTAGAACACTAGCCTTGAGCAAAAAGAGCTCAGAGATAATGCCCAGGTCCTGAGTTCAAGCCCCAGGACACACACACACACACACACACACAAGAGGTCTGGGTGCTAGTCGCTCACACCTGTAATCCTAGCTACCCACGAGCCTGAGATTTAAGAATCTCAGTTCAATGCCAGCCCAGGCAGAAAAGTCCATAAGACTCTTATCTCTCCAATAAACTATTCACAAAAAGCCAGAAGTGTCACAGTGGCAGAATGCTAGCCTTGAGCAAAAGCAACTCAGGGACAGTGCCCAGGCCATGAACTCAAGCCTCAAGATAGGCAAAAGAAAAAAAAAAAGCAGAAGGTATGGGTATATTTTGAGACTATTTGTGTATTATTAATCCTATACATTTTACCCTATTCAAACTAGCCAATCCTGAGAAGATTGTGAACCTGAGCTCAACCAATCAGAGCAAAGGGGCGGAGCCTTCTGCATAAAGTGATAAATAGGGAAGCAGCCAGCCTGCTCTGGGTGCTTGCTTGCTTGCTTGCTTGCTTGCTTCCCAGATTTCTGGCTGATGATGCATCTTTCTGGAGAAGTATATTTTACCTTGCTGAGACAATTCTTTATTTTCCTATCTATCGTGACTCCAGTAGTTCTAAGCCTCATAGATCAGATCTCCGTCTCCTGAAGCTAGGATTACAAGCATGAGCCACAGGTGCCTGGCTTCAGTGATGTCATTGAATATTTCCTTACTTGCATAAAGATGGGAAGTTTGTGTGTGCATAGCTCCAAAGACCACTTTCACATGCATGCAAGGTAAGAGAGAGCCACCAGCCATGTGTCCTGAAATCGGAGCATAAGGTAACTGCTCATCCTGCCATTTTTATCTTTAAGTCAACAGAATTGTGGGGCTTGAAGAAGCTTTTTGTTTTGTTTTGTTTTGGCAAATGCTAGGGCTTGAACGCGGGACCTGGGTGCCATCCCTGAGCTTTTTTCGCTCAAGGCTAATATTTTACCACTTGAGCCACAGCCCCACTTCTAACTTAATTGGAGATAAGAGTCTCACAGACTTTCCGGTCCAGGCTTGGAACTGCGATCCTTAGATCTCAACCTCCAGAGCAGCTAGGATTACAGGCATGAGATGAGCTACTGGCACTCGGCTTGTGATGCTGCTGTTTGAGCTCTCATTCTCGCAGATGCCTGCTGGGCTTCTTGTGTATGCAATCTCTGTAAGCTCCAGTTTGTAGGTGGGGGTAGGGTCACAGGGCAAGAGCTCCTCAGGGCATCATCTAGGAGCCCAGGTGATCCTAGGATCTAGACTCTCTCTGGCCAATCCCATCCAGGGAAGGGAGAAACCGGAAACACTTCCTTGCCCACCATGCAGCACCTGCTTAGCCCTCCTCCCTCACCTGTTGTTGCTATAATACTCCAAGTAGAACCTCCTGGGCCTCGACAGTTCCTCCACTCGTGGGGACACAGCTAACGGAAGAGAAAATGACCCAATTGCCACCGTGATGCTGGGCCCTAGCATGAACCACCTGCCCATCCCAGGGTCTCTGCGTGCTCTGCTCTGTTGACCGTAGACCTAGGCAGGAGGCACGGGCTGAAGACACTGCAGATGCCTCTCAGTACCAGACACAGGGCAGACAAGTGGGCTCTGCTGCTCTGGGGTGGGGACAGCAGGCTTGAGGGCTCTCAGGACAGGTCTGAGCGGCTGGAGCTACAGTCTAGCTTATGCCTCCTTTCTAGCAATCAGCATGGACACTGGGAAACTGGATTTAGGTCTGAAGTGTGTGTGAGTCTAGAGTTTCCAGTGTTCAGGGAATCACTGTGGTAAGTCTGGAATTGCAGGTGAGACCTTGCACCATTACTCCGCTCCAAAGATGAGCTCTTTGGGATCTTTGGCTTTCTCTTTCTCTCTTTCTTTCTCTCTCTCTCTCTCTCTCTCTTTCTTTCTTTCTCTCTTTTGTTCTTCCTTTTTTTGTGTGTTTTGTTTTTTTGTCGGTCATGGGGCCTGAACTCTGGGCTTGGGCTCTGTCCCTCAGCTCTTCAGCTCAAGGCTAACGCTCTACCACTTGAGCCACAGCGCCACTTCCGGCCTTTTCTGCTTATGTGGTGCTGAGGAATCAAACCCAGGGCTTCATGCATGCAAGGCAAGCACTCTACCACTAAGTCACTTT